CTACATGTCTCGAGCGACTGCCCTACCGGCGGGTACTCTGCTTTTCTCATCTACCGCTGACTTCTTCCACTGTTTATGCAGCTCCTGAAGCTTGGTAGGAGGCTGAAACAGTGGTGTATGGAGACTCTCACGCACGGCAACCATGGACGGATGTCAAAACGCGACAGACTTCGGCGTGGGACCGTTACTTATTGTGCACCGCACTCGACGGAGGCGCGTGCAGTAAACAAACCTGAAAGATATAAGTATTTGCTCTACGGACCCTGGATAATTCGACCCTCTCAGACACCATGTACGACGCCCGAAAATGCGACATCTACGCGTCTACGCCGTCCGTCTCAATTTCCGAGTTCGAGGTCGACTGGTACGATCGGCTAGCTAGCCAAGATGGTTTCGCAGTGCCGCCGCCTCCTACAACTGACATGACGGCCTCCGCTGTTACCGACGCATCTTCAGACACCCCATCGTCCGTCCCCTTTTCCGAGTTCGAGGTCGACACGGACGCTTGGCTAGCTAGCCAAGATAGTTTCCCAGTGGCGCCGCCTCCTACCACTGCCTTGGCCTCTGCTGGTCCCAGCGACATGGGCGAAAATTACCAAGGTATATGTGCCAGTATGTCCGCGGGAGCCTCAAGTGCTGATGGCCGGGCTCCTTTGTTTCAGCCTGGCCGACGATGTCTCCCTGGACTGCCCAGTCAACAGGCCGTGTGTCTCCCGGAGACACAATTTTCAGCACGATGCCTCTTCTTCCGTCTTCGGGCTCCGCTGACTCGCTCGCGAACTTCGTCGGCACCCTGACCCCCACCCCCGGCCATGCCCAACTGTGTGGCACGTCATTCACCACCATTCCTCCCCCTGCATCCGCCATGTCCGAGACGTTGCAGGCTGATGTCCCTGCGATGGCCGGTCCCTCGCGCACCCCGCGACGCACCAAGACGCCACAGTCCGTAGGTCAGAAGGGCAAGCTTTATCAGTGCGAAAGCTGCGAAGGTACGTTGTGGCATTGTGTATAGTAGATGTAGCAGATCACTTCAACACTGGGGTCGTCGGCGACAGTGAGTTGCACTCGCAAATTCAACTTGCGCCAACACATCCGAGAGCATCACGATTCCACCTTCCAAAAGTTCAAGTGCGAACATTGCGGGAAGAAATACGTACGCTCAAACGAGCTGCGTAGGCACGTACGTTCTCGGCACCCGGACGACGTTGGTATGTTCCTTTCTCCCTCCTCGCGCCACAGATGTGGTTTGACCATTACTTACGCTCTTTTCACAGCGAACGTCTCCCAGTGAATCTGCCGTTAACCCAAGGGAGATCGTCGAGCCTTAGGATTGGTCGTGTACGAATAGTAGGTGGGTGGTCTTGCCCGTCCCTAGGGCTCAGACGCAATGAGTTGACTCCCTCACCGCTCCAGCCCTCAACGCGTTGCTCCTACGCCGCCTACGCACGCCTCACCACTATACTCCTGAAGCGCGCACGAACCCCCGTCAAAATTATCATATAGCCACACTCTATATCAAGCATCCTCCCTATCCGATCCCAATCATCACCCTATACATATAATTCTCAGTCGATTCCGACGTTCTCTCTCATCCTCACATACCGTACAAGTTTTATATATCGGTAGAGACGGGCTTCGGAGAAGTGACCCTACTGTACCATGGACTCCTTGTATCGCGCTCATATTTTCGATCCGCTGGGATTTGTAGAATTGTACGAATAATGGACTTTGCGACGAAGGATACTATTATTTTATCATACGGCGCAGTCGTCAGAGCGTGGACAGTCATCGACGCGGTATACTCCCCGGAAGTCGGCTTGAGTCCTTGACGATTTAACCAGCAAACGTGCCGTAGCCGCCGCACGCTATTTGGTCTAGTGTACTACGCCGCGTAAGCTGTGCTAGCGCAGACTAGCGCAGACTCCGGGTCCCATCAAAGGTGGACCGGGCGGCAAACAATTGTCATAAGACGCACTGGCAGGCGCACATGCCCACAACGATTGAGTTTCCCGAAGTCTTTCCGTGTCCCATATATTACTTACTCCACGAACGCCATAACCACCTGGGAAAGCTCTAGATCTCTTAGGATGGGCGAGGTCAACCTGGACGAATATCTGGTACCCGGAACGTCCTCCACATACTACATTCCGGACTTTGTCACGGAAGACGAGGAAGAGTACCTCATCAGAAAGGTAAGGACGTGTATAGGTGCCATGCCAATGCTGGAGATGCTGATCGGATGTCACAGATAGAAGAGGCTCCCCAACCATGGTGGAAGCGGCTCAACAACCGCAGGTCAGTGGCGTCCTTCATGAGCTCGAACGGCGCTGAATACGACTTGGGCTAGACTTCAGATTTGGGGCGAGTGCAGTGTTTAACGAGCCTAAGAGCTTGTGCTGAGACTTCTCCAGGTGGCGATCTTACCAAAAAGCAGACCCTGATCCCGCAGGACATGCCCGTATTCGTGAACCAATAGTGAGTTGCCGCAGCCGATTCGATGTTCATGCGCTAATCCACCCCAAGTCCTGACATCCTCGGGCGCATCCGAGACTTGGGTGTGTTCAAAGCCTCGGCGCATGGACAGCCAAACCATGTCATCATGAACGAGGTGCGCAGCGCGCTTTGAACGCCAGTCAGGCGGGTGCTAACGTTCGATCTATGCTTTCAGTATGCCCCAGGACAAGGGATCATGGTATGCAGTACACCTGCCTTTGACAGGCCATGCGTCTGAGCTTTCGCAGCCCCACGAAGATGGACCCGCGTACCACCCCGTTGTCGCAACCTTGTCCCTCGGCGCGCATACGATCTTTCACTACTACCAATACAAGCAGGACGATCCAAGCTCCAGGCCGACGCCTTCGTCTCCGGCCTCGGCCTCTGGAGCGGACACTGGCATGATGGGAGCGTCCTCTGCGACCGGGAGACCGATCGACCCGACCCCCATCCTGACGCTCCTCCTCGAACCCCGCAGCCTGGTCATCACCACGTCCTCGCTCTACCAATCGCACCTGCACGGGATCGACGACCTGATGGAGGACAGCTTCGCCCCCGCGAGCCGCTCTCCGGGCGAGAAGATCGCCAACGTGCATCTGCTGCGAGGGAAGGCGGAGAAGGACGCGGTTCTCAATGGCGGGTTCCTCGAGCGCGGTCTGCGCTACAGCCTCACGTGCAGAGACGTCGAGAAGGTGACCGCCGCGGGGGGTGCGCTGTTCAAGAAACTCAGGGGCTGACACATACGGCGTTCGGTGGGAGTGGGTTGTACAACATTTTGAATCTACGGATACATGCAGCTTTGATGTCCTGTAGATGGCGGCCCTACATCACACCGAGACCGGCCTTGAGCTCTGCCTCGAGGTCCGTGTTCACGACCTCGTCTGTGCCGGTGTCGCCGCCCGCGTCCTTGCGCTCGCGCTCCTCCTTAACGCAGCGCTCGCACATGCACTTGCCGAAGCCCCACTCCATGAGACCTCGCCTGCGCTGCTCGACCGGCTGCTCCGGGTTCACGTACGTGATCAGGAGCTCCTCGCCTGGCGCGATGTCGCGTCTTGCGACGAGCGTGATGCGCGAGAGCGCGGTGCGCTGGTCAAAGTGCCGTGCGGAGACGTTCGGCGTGCACGAGTGGTTGAGGTGCGAGTGCAGGACATACAGGCCGCCGTGCGCCTCGAGGTCTGGCGATCCATGAGACCCATGCCAAGCAGTGGGGGAGGGAGAAGTGACTTACTGAGACTCATACGGCCGAGCCCGCGCAGAAACGCGTCGTAGTCGAAGAGAGTGTCGGACACCTCCTTCGGAAGGGGCTTCTTGAGCAGCTTCGCGAGCCGCTTCTTCTCGGGCTCCGTCGCGGGCTCTTGGAATGCCTGCACGTACAGCTTGTGCGCCTTCTTCCACATCGCGCGATCTGGCTCTGCGCCCAGCCTGCGAGGATCCGTCTTGGTGGATACACCCAGCAACACAGCAGAGAAACCACATACCATCCGCCCTGCGCGCGCTCCTCCATGCCCAGCTGCGCCAGCGCACGCACGACCTCCCAGTCCTCCTTGAATGCCTTCTCGTCTTGCTCATACGTCAAGAGCACCCGCGCTGTGCACTGCGCGAGCGCGTGCAGGGCCATCCACTCGTTCCGGCGCGCAAAGTGCAGGAGGGGTGCAGACGCGGGATTTCGCGAGGCGCAGAGCAGGGGATGTGTCCTGCCAGAACGCGAAAGACAGAGTCGGCTGCAGAACCGCACCGGACAGGGGGTGGACGATGTCGATGCGGAGCAGGGAACGACGAGCGGGGAGGTTGTGAGCGGCGTCGAGCAGTGTCCGCACGCGGCGGAGGACATCTGGAGGTCATAGAGGTTCCTGCGATGGCCGTCAAACGTCAAGTCTACATCGCGTACATTTCTCCGTAGGTCGAGAGAAACTCTGAGAAGAGAAGACTCACCATTCCGGAGCGAGGATGAACGGGTCCTCCTTCCAGATTGCCTCTCCCTCCGCAATCTTTTCCTTCGCGACCAGCCCCTTGCCTTTCGCCTTCCCGAAGTACTTCACCTCCACCTTCGTCGTCCACTTCGCGACATCGAAGCCCTCGATCAAGCGTGAGCTCGGGTAGACCGGCTTTGCGGCACCTCCGCTGCCAGTATTCGCGTTTTGGACGAGTCCTTCATTTTGCAGGACTTTTCGGGTGCGCTTTTCGCTGACCGACCACTCTGGATGTGCTGCGAGCAGAAGCGCGTGGATCTTGGGGACTCCGAGCGAAGGGTTTTCGGTCTTGAGAGCGAGCAATGCGCTCTTTAGATCGTCCTCTGACGGAGAGATCGCAGCCGTCATTCCCTCTCCTGTACCAGCGATCAGTAACACTTAGGAGAGGATATCTGACCGTATCGTGTCCGAAGCTGTAGATCCTGAGGAACTAATAGAGCAAGGAAACAAAGAGGCACGTCTGGTGCATTCACGATTGAAGGACCAAGGTGGCCAGCAATTGCCAAGTGCAGCAAAAAAACGCGATCTTGGAAAAGATGGACATGTCCGGGATTGAACCGGACCCCTCTCGCAAGCTCACTCATGAATGCTAAGCGAGCGTGATAACCAACTACACCACATGCCCTTACAACCGAAGGCCTTTGCTGCCCACCTGTCGCTCAATGTGAGTGTGGATGCTGCAAGAACAACCATTGTATTTTGTCAATTCAATGATGTGAGTACTTGAGGGCAAGATCTAGATGTCGTAGAAACATATATAAGAGTTACAGATAGAGAGTGCAGCTGCCAGTGCCCATCAAAAGAGGACAAGGGAGAGCGCGGCAACGAGAGTTGCGCCCGCGATAGCTGCATACGCCTTTGCGCCAGCCATCACGGCGCCGTTGCTGCCCCCAGAGGAGTCGCTGCCGGACGTGGAGGTGGAGCTCGCGCTGGACTTCGAAGCAGTGCTGGTTGCGGTGTCCGTGACGAGGACGGTGTTGGTTCCCGAGACTGTCGGGACGAGGACGTCGTTCGAAGTCGAGAACACCTTAACGTACGAGATCTCGAAGTACGCGTTCGTGTAGTTCACGGGGGTGTTGATGACGTTGTTGAGGTAGCAGGCCGTGGCGGTGCCGTCGCCGCCACAGGTGGACTGATAGATGCTCGCCGCACCAGCCCTACAGTGTATGGTTAGCGTATGCGAAGGATATCAGTTTGTCAGGTAACGTACCAGTCGCCGCACAGAGTGATGTCGATGACGAGCTGCTGAGCAGTGAAGAAGTTGTTGATGTTACACGAGGACGAGGGATAGGCTGCAGATGGTGTGCCCCATGACGAGGTATCAATCGAGTTGGTCGCTGACGAGACCGACGATGGAACGCTGTTCCTCTGAGGAGGCGTGAGCGACGATCAAAGCAGCGCCGAAGCGGAACTTACAGTCCAGAACCAGATGCTGTCGAAGGGATCAGTCACCGCTCGATCAAATGACCAGAGGGGAAACGTACAAGATACCGGATGAATCAAACTGCGCGGCCCATACGCCGCCGCCTGCAGACGCAAAGCCTGCTCCGACGCTGTTGCTCTGCTGCTCAGCGACTGTGCACCCGGAAGTGGTACCACAGTCCGTGGCGCTCGTCGCTCCGGTCTGGTTGACACCGGAGGGTTGTGTGCATCCGGCATTCGTATGCAGCGCCATCTGGTTGAATGTCATGAGGTTGACGGCCTCGATGATGTCAATCTCGCCTCCGGCTGGCCAGTTGATACCCTTCGTCCAGAACGAAGGCCAAACCTGACAGGCACTACTAGTCAGCTGGGCTCATACAGCGAACTATAAGGCCACGTACAGAGCAGCCATAGGGAAGGTGAGTTGCATCGAAGAGGATGACCGAACCAACAGGGAAGTAGTCGGTCGTAGCGACCCGGACCTGTGTGACTTCGTGAGTACGGATCGACTTCCGAGGGACGCCCAAAGCGCGCTCGGCTGCGCTGCCGTGCTGCGATGACGTAGGGGCAGCGCGATGGTTCGAACAAAAGTACGCACCGAATCGCGCTTGTTGTTGTACGGCACGGAGGTCGTGTTGTCCACCGTGATGATCACCTTGCCCGCATCGTTCACGTACGCCAACTTCTCCGAGCTCGCATTCGCAGCGGACACAAAGTTCACGTCACCTTACACACAGTCACCATGAGTTCATGCTGGGAGCGCAGGTCACAAACAACGAGGTGCGCACCGTTCGTCAAGTTGTCATAATTCCCATAGAACTCCCAGCCATCGAAGAAGCTGGACCCGGAGTACTCTCGCACAAGGTTGTACGCTGCGGACGCGCCGTGTGCGGATGCTAAAAGAGCGGCTGCCACTGGTATGGCGAAGTGCATGTTGCTGAGGAACGAGAGCGGGAGGAAAACTGAAAGCCGGAACCTAGACGAGGACGAGGTCTATTGGAGGCTTTTGAGACGTTCAGGACAGGTCAGGAACAGGTGTCGAGCGATCGGTGGCGGTCGCAGTCAATTATGTGTGGGTCGTCGGAATCGTTGTAAACGGCGTTGGAAGCGTTCGTAGGCGTACAGAGTGTAAGCACAATCGTCAAGCAGAGTTCGGGAGAGTCGCAGAGTTTCTGGAGGCCGGGCAGACAAGGACAAGTCCTCGAGGGTGTGTTATATATGGCCCCTCGGCGCAGCACCAACGATCGAACCGCGCGGCTGAAGATGGAGCAAACCGGTGAATTTAGGGTGAACCATCGCTTCTGTTACGAGATCGCCGAGGTGAGCAGCAAGAATTCCGGGCAGCGTGTCTGGTGCATGGCTTGAAGCGAAGTCTCGAAGCTCAACGTCATCGTGTACGCAGTCTTGACGCAGTCCCTTGTCCTCAATCGACTGGTAAGGTCCCTGCAAGACCCTCGATTCTTCGCAATAACTCTGGAGCTCACCATACAGCACCATGCATACAGCATCCTACGGCCACCTGTCCTCTGTCCGAGAACAGTGCCGCTGCGCTGTCTGCGCGCGCCACCACCCGACAACCGCACCTCATCCGCAGCGTCTGTGCGATCCTGCGGCAAGACCACTTGCTCCAGCCGATTCGTGCTCAAGGTAACGGGTAGAACGGGTGCCGTCGTCGGGGGCCATAGCGTGCTCAACGTCCAAGGCAAGTCGGTCGTCGTTGATGGGTCCGTGCGCAGACGATGGCCGTATTTGGGCAGCTTTGGCCGTATTTGTGGCGTTCTCACGTGCAGACTATATATACGTCCTCGTGACCAAGACGTGACCTCGTTTCCTCCCCCGTGATCAATCCCGCCCCCGCTATTATCCCTCGAGCTCATCGCGTATCACGGCGAGCAGCGACCAGTCCTCGCTGCCCAAGCCCACAATACAACTTATCTGGGGAGAGTGTCCCTTGTACAACTCATCCCGCCGGGTCCGAAGCAAATATTCCTCTTCTCAGTCTGTATCCGGCCCCTCCGAGACTACCCACCCGAGATGGCATCCACACAACCACCCGCCCACGATCCCGCACTTGCATCCGCCCCATCCGCAAATCAGCCACCACCCTCCTCTGCACAGAGTGCGGCGGCGGCGGCATTGGCTTCCCTGCCCAGTGCCCTGCTCGCTACCATGGGCCAGGAGCAACTCGCAGTGCTCCTGAAGCATATTCCGGACCTGCTGAACAGGGTGAGCACTTGTCGCTGCATGCCCATCATCTCTTCATCATGCGCCGCTGCTGCCTTCGGGCGTACCCCGACCGCCGCGCCAGGATGCGTCGGGCACGCGCTCCACGTGATCGAGACCATCGGTCACGTTCGTCGCGCTGATCGGGAGGGGCGCGTGCGCATTGCACCTGCCAGGGCGCGATAGATTGCGAAGGCTTCTGTTGCGTGCTGCGATGGCTATAGCAAGGTCCGCGCAGAGGTTATCACGCCTTGGCGCCAGAGGAAGCTCAGGTGCCTTGCTTCCTCGTCATCCTTGGGATCGGCGGCTGTTCGTGTCCAACTCCCCGTTACCTCGCTCCGACTTGTATGACGATTGCTGACATGCTGGGATTGTCATCTGCGGCAGGGAGGAGAAGCGAAGGACTCAGCGGCAGCTGAGGCACTCTCGCACCTCTCGCAAGGCTTCCAGCCTGTATCACAGCAATTCACCCATGGCATGCTTTCTGGCCAACTGCCCCTGCAGCATGCCCAGATGGCGAGCGAACCCGGCCCGTCATCGCATCCTCGTGGTCCACCGAACCTCGGGCAGTTGTCCGCCGTGGCCTCCGTCATTCAAGCCACCGTCCATCAGGCGCAACAGGCGCAGGCGGCGGCGACAGCAGCAGCATTAGATGCGCATGCCCCCTCGGAGGACGGCACGTCACCACAACCCGAAGACGGCCATTCGCAGGATGGAGGTGAGAAACCTGCCTCAGGCAAGACTTCTGGCCGGCGCGGCGGTCGGAGTGCGGCCATGTCGAACGACGAGTGGGCTCGTATCCGGAAGGACAACCATGTACGTATCCTCGCGCAGTTTTCCCGCGTAACTGCCGCTGACATCTACGCGCGTGCAGAAAGAGGTTGAGCGCCGACGGCGTGGCAACATCAACGAGGGTATAAACGAGCTCGGCCGCATCGTGCCCAACGGCTCGGGCGAGAAGGCCAAGGGTGCGATCCTCAGCCGTGCAGTGCAGTACATCCACCACCTGAAGGAGAACGAGGCGCGGAACATCGAGAAGTGGACGCTCGAGAAGCTGCTTATGGACCAGGCCATGGGCGACCTGCAGGCGCAGCTCGAGGAGATGCGCCGCATGTGGGACGAGGAGCGTGTTGCGCGTCAGCGTGCGGAGGCGGAGCTCGAGCTCTTGCGGGGGCACAACGCCGGCGCTGCGAGCATGGCTGCTCCGAGCACCAGCACGCCGTCGGGGACCGCCGCCGCTGCATCTGCGCCCGCTCCTGCTGCTGCTGCTTCCGCAGAGAAGGACACTGGCAAACGTGCACGGGAGGACGAGGGCGGGCAGGCCGAAGGTGACGTACAGGCCGGTGCAGAAGGCGATGACAGGTCGAAGCGGCCGCGCACGGAGTAGGAGTGCTGGTCTCACCGACCTTCTCCTCCTCTTGCTCGTATCATAAACCTTTCCCTCTACTCCGAGTCTCCGATCTACCTCCGTGCGTATCCGCTGCCTCCCGCTCTCGCGCTCGACTCCTGTTTTTGTCCGCCGACATAAGGGGCCATTGTAGTATACCAAACGCTGTAGTATTGGCCCTTGGGACGGTGCATGCGATCATCAGAAACTGTACGAGTATGTATTTGTACGATGTAGGTCTTGGGTCTCAACGCGTTGATGAAGCTTGGAACCGATCAGCGTGTTGCGTATGGTGTGTCTCAGATGCGTTCTCGGGAACTCCCTCAGGCACGTTGTAATTAGGACGTTCCGTATGCATGCCATATACAGCAATCCTAGCGCCCGTCGAGGGAGGATGGGGCGAGGGGTTGCGCGGACGGTGAATTAGTCTCCTTTGGCGATCTGACCAGGCTGCAAAGTAGCAAGCTCACCTACATAGCAGTACTTACTGTACTATGAATCTGAGGCTCCTTGATGCGAAGTAGCTCATTTGTTACCAGAGAATCAATGCAGTTCCGGGTCCTGTCTAAGCTTGTTGTCGATGGGACTGGGGA